ATGTTATGAGCCCAGCTGGCTCGAAGGTTTTAATCCTTCCAGCTTGTAGCAATGTCCTTTTATCCTCCGACTATCAAATGTTTTGGGCTTTGAAATAGAGGAGGATTCTGCAAACCAAGCGTTTACACTGTATACAAACAGTGACTCAAACAATTTTTCACAAATATATGGAAAAATATTAAGATTTATTTTTTTTATAAATAAAATTAGTTTTAAAAATTTCTCCCAAAAATCGCCTCAGATGATAGAAACGTTTAAGCTTAGAGGTGTACATAAAAATTTTTGTTTCATTAACGGAATTAAATAACTAGATTTTTGGAGTTATTTTAAAACCAGTCCACTGACGTAGGTCTTAGTATTTTTCCGAAATATTTTGGCGAAAATCTTAGAATGTAATAAAATTTATTATTCTGAAAAAAGAAGAAGTTCTGCGCAAAAATACTTCCCCCCTTCTTTTCCGGCAACTCTTAAGGTATTCTCCATTCGTTGCGGTTATTTTCACAGCTTAATTTCCGATAGTTATAACTTGAGGAAAAGCACGCTTAGCATTGTTAATGTTCCTACATAATGTAATACTTACTTCAAGAACTTCGTTACCATAGTTGCCTATAAGCTGTTTAACGGTCAACCTATCAGAATACGTCATATTAGGAATTTTCGCGAAATTTTAGGAAACGTAAAAGCTTTTCTGTTAAACCAATCACACAATGATGCCAAGATTTTGTTGGAATCTGGTACCTTATAAACCCTTATTCTAAATTATCTACTTCTTGAGGCTTATATTTACGTATCATTCATATATTCGATATTTTACTTTCACCTTATTCACCCCACTCACAACTGTACATTTTCGTTATTTATGTTCTAAGGCATTCGTCACTATCATAATATATGTTACATTTTCAATATATCGGTGTTAATTTTACGTAATTCTGTAAATTTGTTTGTAAGAAAATGAATAAATAATAATAATAATAAAGAGACAGTACCAATTTTTTATGGTGGTATTTTTTTTTTGGAAAGCAATGCGCAAAAAAAATAAAAATATGAAAAACTTATTTAAAAAAATAGGTTCGTTATATGAAAAAAACTGCACAAGACCATCAGCAAAATAAAAACTATTAAAACTCAACAAAAAATTTAGACACTTCAAAGTTTTTCTTTATAAAATATTCAAAAATTTCACGGGCTACCAAACTGCATTCAAAAGCTTAAAATTTGATTTGAAGGGTTTTGTTCATAGAAGTATTTCAACTTGATAAACCATTGTGAACATTCAATGATTAACACCACTTTAAAATTTCGAAAGTATTCAAAATTTGTTTTTTGCTTAAAAAATGCTTTAATATCATAAAATCAATATTCACTCTGCTCTAAAGTAAAGAAACGCTTTAAGGACTGTGGCTTTGACATTTTCAGCGGCTCGGAACGCCCGCTGTGCACTCATGCGATATTAAACACGGTTTTCTCGAAATCACTATTTTAAACCTGGGTAAAGTACATATAAGTGTATACTGAGCGAGTGTAAATTTTTTTAAATAAATTACGGTAATAACGTGCTAACTAAACGCTCTAAACATAAATATGATTATTTTTCCCTACTCCCATAAAATAACTTTTCCGGCAGCTAGTGTGCTGCTACCCCTAAAAAAATCACCTTGTGAACTTTTCCTTAAGTCACTGCAAGTGGACTTAATTAAATTAGGCAACCAATGTGAACTTAGGTACAAGCCGAGGTAAAAACTATTGACTTTAGAATGCTCCTTGAGTGCCTCTGTGCCCAAGTAATTAATAATTCCTATCACCAAATGAAAACCAGATGTAAATGCATCACAAAAAATTGTTGCGCCATGCATAATTTTGCTCGCCATTTCATTATCTAAATTGCGTCTGCTTATTTTATGATAATTTAAAGCATTTAGTTTTTTATCGCACATTTAACAAATTTCCTTCACAAATATTTAGTTATGAATTTCCACGCACATAACCGGCAAGTAATTGGATAACCGGCTAAACAATGGAAATGTTGAATTTAATTAGGCGATTAATCGCTTTCGCTGCTAATGTTTGGCCATTTGTGCACTTCGAGAGAGCGGAATCTAAGTTGAAGTGCTTTTGGGTTGAAATTTCTGCTAAATGGGTGAGTCTCACTCACTTTACTACTTATCCCACTTTGCTATCACCTGTGGCCACTCATCTTGAGTGTGACTCACTTAATATCCGCGGATTATCTGCACAACGGCGCCCCTTTCAGTCATTCATCATTTTCTGAAAGTGCGCAAGTCTTTATAAATAACTGACATTGCAGCTGGTTACCTCCTTCTATGGGTTGGCTATTATTACTGTGTAAGTATGTATGTACATATTTATGCACATTAAGTCGTTATCTTTGCAATGTCGGCCAGCCAACTGTTATCATCTTCCCCATCGTTTACCATAACCAGTTACCACTAACTACTTCCCATTATTCGCCGTGTAATTTTACTTGTTAATGAGAGTTGGCAGTGGCCATCCGCATCCCATTTGGCTTTTTATATTTAAACGTACTGGAATATCTGTTTTATGGTTTTCGTCAAGTGCAATGACGGTAATATTCATTCACTTTTTGCATTACCACTGATGCTCCTCTCCACTTTTTATATGAATTTTTCAGCCTCCATCCAATAAAGTATTTCACTTTCATTATGCAAATCTATTTTAAAAATAAAGGATGATAAGAAAAGTTAATTATACAACGTGAGCTTTGGCATGTTCTCTTTTTGCACATAGTTCGGGCACCAAAGATATTCCGTTTACTCATTTTGAGTTAAACTGGGAAGTTCTCCTCTTTACTTATGGCAAAAATTTGATTTATTTGACGTCTTTTGTATTTATTATGATTTATGTGCTCGTAATAAAAAAACCAAATTATTCAGCGAATACACTCCAGCAAAGTGGACCCGCTTCATAATTGTCACTACGTAGGCACTGAATGACTGTCGAGAGTTAATACTTCCACACATTGGCCCAGGATTTAGACTCGTTTTGCGGATACAAGCAACATATCTCCAATAACTTAATCTAATCGAAACATCTCTGTATCGCTTAGGAGCTTAAAAAGTTTCGAACCAATTAGAACTAAAAAAAGTTTTGTACGTTAGACCGTACCGGAAAGAAAAGTGCGCCGTACGCCCCTGAGTCCTAAAGTATTTTTGCAAGGCAATTTTCCAAAACATTTTTTTTGGCCAGACGTTTGGCCAGTCGGATCAGAAAGTATTATACATCGACGGTCTTGTATATATATAGATATATCGGTGTTTTTGATCCAAAGTTCATTGACTTGAAGTATCCAGTTATAGTAATTACCAGCTAGATCTCAGCCATACCACCCTAACGTACTAGCCTATTGTTAGTAAATTAATGCTATTTCGTGTCTTAAGGTTCCTTTGGAATTTATTTACACGCACCTTGGATATTCAGCGACGAAGATCTTTAGACCTATAAAAATTTAATGCAATCATACCATAAAACGTGCGGCTTGCTTGTCGTTTGTCTGTGTCTGCGCTAAAATGGTATTACAAATGTTTCACTTATTTATTGCTTTACGTTCTTCATGAAAAAAAATGCTCTCAATAAATTTGTTTTACGCCTGAGAAATTTTTCTTTTGAAATGTGTAGCATTTTATTTCATAATTGGTCATATCTCTAACCAAAATACTATACACACACCAAAATACACATTTACTTACGCAAAATTTGTAAGTACATAGGACACATTCACGCAACGTCACGCCATTTATGAACTTATCAAATTTCCCAATCGATGCGCTATTTCTGCTATCCTTCCAGCATAATACCACTCGTAAAGTCCTTTGTTAGCCACCAAAGTAGCAAATTTGTACCTGCAACAAATAAAACGCTATTAGTGATTTTCCGTTCGACTAGAGCTGTTATCAGGCTAAACTTATTGTCAAAGCAAAGCCAATCGCAGCACATTTGAGGCGAACAAATTCAATTTTGTAACATAATAACAGCAGAATAATGATGTATGTATGTATGTAGCTAGCTTATGTAGCGTGTACATCCAAGCGAAAAAACGTATTGAATGGCAGGCGCAATAACGTTAGTTGATAACACAAAAATAAAGTAAAATAAAACAAAACAAAAGTGATCAAGTAACGGTAACAACCGTAAAAACAATCCACCCACACACAAATAACTCAGCCAAAGTTGTAGCGAACAAAAGACACGAATAGCAACTCAAAAATGTCTCAGCATATCTGTGGTAATTTTCTGCTCGCTCGCTGCCGCAAGCGACGACGCTTAAAGTGTGCAACAAATCGCTGGTGAAATAACTTCGAAAAAAACACCACGGCGACTGTAGGAAATAATATCTCACGAACACAAAAAGAACGCAAAAATTAAATCTCTACAAATTCGAGTAAAGTCAATGGGGCGCTTGCTTGCTGCCACTCACTGGCTTCCGCACTTTTGCACATCCCCGTCATGCATAGCAGTATGCACCGAGACGCCCCCCAAGGGGTAGATAGTTATCCGACCACCACGCTGATGACGACTCATCACATTTTGATGATTCCACCTTTCGTGCTACCTTTCGTGATTCCCATTTTCCTTTGCCCAACTTCCGCTTGCTGTTCCTTATTACCGTTGGCGTTAGCAATTTCTGTTGATGATTTTCCGTTTTCAATTTTCACAACAATCACGTATACGCCATGGTGTCTGAGGGAGGCGTCACAGATTTTTTGGTTTTTACAGTATGAAGTATTTCTTGTTGTTGTTATAGTGGTCTGGTATATCCGTTAACATTGCATTAGAATGAGAAATGCGCGCAGCACTCAAATCAAACACTCAAACAACACGAAAACCAAACAATCGCTTTAACAAAATCTGCGCTGCCTTTCATACATTTTACATTTTTTTTGTGTATATTGACCCTTTTAACGCCTGTGGAAATAAACCTTTCTAACTTTTACTACTTAAATTTTTCATTATTTTTGCAGTTTACACGGCTGCCCGCATGAGCTACACCTGCTGCACGCCGTGCTCAACAACTACTACAAAAATCTGGAGCAAGCCGTTGTGAACAAATTCGCTCCACTGTAGCTCATTTTCGGTTTGACGACAATACAAATTGTCGATGGTGGTGAGTGTTGCTTGTCTTTCTTTTTACACGTTAGCAGTCCGGTGTGTGTTTGTGTGTGTGTGTTCTAACCGAATTTGCACATTTAATCAAACTCAAACAAAAAGGTTTCTCATAAAAATGGTAAATTAAGCTTCAGCACGCCCTCAGGTATGCTCTGGTAAACTCATTAAATTAGCAAACAAAAGGCAATTACACGGGTGCGAAATACAAAAAAGCTATTTATCTTTCAATTACGCTAAGGTGAAGTAAAAAAAAAATTTTATGTTGAGGTTATGCATTTACCTTGCGTCTGTGGGAAGAGTGGCAAAATGTAGTTTAGCATCAATTTGTACTCTAAGCCGCGCCAAATGAAAGAACATCGGCCCGCAGCTTGCACTGTAAACAATCAGCGAAACGAATCTAATTAGGCAGTGTCAAATAATTGATGTAGGAAAATACAAATTTTGATTAAAGAAAATATATACACGTGTATACAAACGCACTTATTATAAGGTGAATATTTGGTCGATAAAGTATTGTAAATCCGTGGTTGGTTGGTTATGCATTTAACAAAATAAACATTTTCGTTATACCGCGGATTACTAAAACTTCTCTCGAACAAAACCTCAGTAGTTCTCAACATTTCAATTGGTGTTATCATTAATTCGATTTTTTTTTTTAAAAGGTGACTTATGCCACTTTCAAAATAAACCTCTCATATGAGTAATTTTAAACTCTATTCGATTCAAGCCCACACTTTTTTCGTTTTCCCTGACCTTCTCTTATATAATATTGCTACTTAATTCACCTTCCATCCTAAGTAGATACCTGCGATAAGGATATAAGTTGGGAAGAGTCCGTATAGAATTTAATGGCAGCCTTTGAGGTTTATTATACATTTTTACAACGCACTGAACTGAAAATTTTCACTTACATTCTAAGTTGTGTACAAGCAAATGCTTAAACCCAAATAAAAACCAAAAATTTTGAGTCCTTCAAGTTACAAATTATAGGAGCGTTGCTAAGATGCAATTCTAACTAGCAAGCTTACCTTTCAGTATCAACATCACACACGCACATAATTGCATATATATGTATATGTACTTACATGCCCACTTAACACACAATGTCGATTGCCACTTGAACTGCTGCTGAAAGTAAAATTAAAAAAAAGAATCACAAGTAAGTGTAAGGAAATAAGAAAGCTGAAATGCTTCCATAGTAAAATATGAAAACAACATACAAAAAAGGGATATTGTGATAACGAGGCAGAGTAAGGAGTAGGGTTTGAAAAAAAAGATAACTTTGTGCTAAAAGGGTTGATCTGATATTAACCGACACAGGTCAAATGGCTGTGTGTGACAATTTGATAAAAAGTGTTCGGCAATTCAGTGCTTTTAGTGTAATCCGATAATAAAGCATGAAATAAAATATCGTAAATAAATATGTTGAAATGGTTTAATAAGTTATGTGCATATGTAAGTTCAGCCGCATTATTTCCGAATGTGATTCTAAAGTTGTCTCAGCCCGCCCCAACTAATATTAACATTTCAGAAAAATTTTGCTATAATGAAGGGTACCAAGTCTCGAATGAGGATAGATTAATGTCAAGATACCACAGTGACTATGTAAAAAAATTTGAACAAGTAAAAGGGACTATAAGTACATATGTATGAATAGTCCTAGTAAAATTCTGTAATTTTCACATTATTCTCAGGTCGATTACTTGCTTTCGCTGTAGTCTACTCTCGTAGTGGCATCAACGAGTACGTATGTACATACACATTTATTTATGTGAAATCGCTATTCAGTATTAAAAGCCCAACAATTTTAGCAAAAGTTTTATTGAACGATTTTTGAAGTTATCGGCAATAAACTGGTTAAAAATAGTTAAAACTTTTGAGCTTTGTGCCTTAATATATTTCAAGCAGAAATGACTGCACGGTCCATGAAAATGTAAGTATTAAGGCATGTATAGTTATAGTGTCTATGAGGAAATAAAATCAGAAAAAAATTAATATAATTTTTTCGAGGTTCTCCGTAATTTACTAGGTATGAGTGAATATTTCTCAGCGCTTTTTTCTAGTTATTATAAAATTTATTTTTTTAAAGATTGTCGATCGTCGTATTCGATATGGCCTCTATTTTCCTTCCAGCAGTGTTGAATTCGGCTTGGTTACACATTGATTTCAGTATGCACCATAAAAAATGCCAATATTAAACTGCTCGGAAAAGGGCACTGTTATCACTCTTTAGCAGCAGAAAACTTAAAGTAAAAAAAAAAAAAAAATTATGCAGAAATGCTTCTCGAGTATCTAGATGAAATTCTGCATCAAAAAAAAAAATTTGAAAGAAAATGTCGCTTACGTTTTTTGGCAGTTAGGGCTCGATATAGTCTCCATACATTTGATTATTCTGATATTGGGTTTTTTGTCATGCGTACTAATTTTTTGCAGCTAGAATCATGAAATTTCGCACTATTACCAAATATTTGTAAGAGAAAACGTACAATGGAAATGATAAAGATCTGGTCACTATAACCTATAATCGCCATACAACTGATTGTTCAGATATTGGCATTTTACATAAAACTCCCTAATGAGGACGGTTAAAACCGATAAATTTCGTGAGTTCTAATAAAATAAAGTACAATTATCAAATGGCTTAAAAATTACCGTGGTTTTTCTGTACCCTTTTTTCCATTTGCTTCCATATAACGAATACAAAAAATTTATTTTTATATGGAAGAAAAACGTAGCATCTTTGACAAAAAAATCTAATAAATGATTTTCTACTAGAATTTACACTTTCAATCCAGGAAATCTAATTAAAGAAGCTCGAAATTTTTACGAAGGTTTGCTGAACTTTTTTTAAAATATTAAAAAAAAAAATAATATGTTGTAACTTTTCACAATGTGGTGCGGCTAAAATTTGGTCGACCACTATATATATGCAGGGTATCCTAGATCACCGGTCTAACCCTTCTAAAATGGAAGAAAATGTTGTTATTCATCTTTGTGAAGTTTAATTTTATATATTTTCATACCTAAACCCCCTTTGAATTTTTCGTATTCGCCAGTGAATATTCATCTGTATATGTGTGAATTGCGAATGCTCAACTGTTTGAAGTGTACTGGCACACTCATAGAGCTAATCCAGCGAGCAAAGATTTTCTCACGCTTTCGCCATTATTATTATAGAAACTGCATTTGTAGCGGCTGCTTCCAATATCGAAAAGCAATCTGAAGTATCTGTACACTGTAGCAGTGGAAACTACCAATATACATACATTCTTTAGAGGTTAAGAAGCTGCGCAGGCACACACTTACACTAGCCACATTGCTTGCAAGGCTTGCCTTCTACTTCTTCGCCCACAGACTCGAATTGAGTGAACTTTCGAAAGTGGAAGGTTAAAAAAATATTCAGAGGGAACATGCAAGCCGATCATCGTGGGGGCAAGGATACGTGTAGTTAACACAGGCTGAACACACAGAATATACGCAGCATCAACGCAAAAAGTGTTGCCATGTTACTTTAATTTCCCATCGATTTCGGGTTATTCTGGATCATTAAGGAGAAATTAATATCTTTCATAATTTTGGAAGGGATTTTTTTAAGAAAAAAAGTAAATAAAAAAGTGGTAAAACGAAAGCAAACAAAATGTATATCTGGTTCATGGTAACAGACTAACATGGAATCTAATGTGTTTTTGTAACACCTCATGGAGTTTAATTTCTCTCATCGCCGTTCATTAATCCAGCTATTCAAATGTATCAGGAGCTATGAAGTCCATCAAAACGAGATCATCATCCACCACCATAGCATATTTCGGTTCCGAGGTGAAGCCTTTCAGCAGCTACTATATCTAGTAACCTTGGACACCTTCACACTATATTTATGTTCTGGTTTTTTAGGGAGAAATGAAATGGTTTTAGGGTAAAGTTATATGGTACATCTGGCAACACTTGACGCAACTCAGGTGCAACAAAGCAACAAACAAATATAGTATCAGACAAACGTTATGTTGCCGGTGTGGCGCGTCGTCGCAATAAGCTGCATTGCCACCACAATGCCAAGTGAAAAGCGTGAAAGGCAAAAGTGTCACTTATCAAATGATTTATTCCTGTAATTTACTGCTAGCCTAAGTAGTTGAAGCCAAATGCATTAACACGCGCGCACACATACAACTCAATACATGCAAGCGCACAGCAGCGGATGACTAGGAAGTCGAAGAAGACAACACTGCCACCAGCAGTGAGTGTGGATATGGATATATGTATGCGGTTGCCCTCACAGTTTGCCGATTCACTCATTGAAAATTTGTGGCTGCGAGTTTATGTTTGTGACACGTTTTTACAGCTCGACTTAATGTCTTTGGATGAGCAGGCGTTTGTGTGTGTCTCTTGGAGCCATAGTTCAGCAAGTTCAAGTCCAACGAAAATTGTATGCCACTGTCATTGCCGCTAATGGTGCTGCTTCACAGCTCAATGGAAGGGTGAAAAAGTAAACTGAAGAGAACCTAAAGGCAAAAGAAAAAAAAAATAGTAAAGGCCGCAAATAAATGCCAGCTATACAGTATTTTAAATAAATATTAAAAATTGGAAAATTTATATAAACTTGATGTAAAAAGTGCCGAGAGGCAATTAAATTGTTGTTACAATTTTTATATCTTTAAGTTCCCAAGAGCTCGCCAAATTTATTTTTGATTTCAGTGTAAAAACCTTATCCTGCATTAATAACAAAAGTAGAGCACAGCAAACAAATAGACTCTACATTTATTATAGCGTTTTATTAAGTAGTTCGTTTTTATTGAGGGCATTATGCTTCGAATGGGAGTGATTAAATAATTTCACTCAATAAAAAATTTTTTAAATGTAGACTCAGTTCTCAGATTATCGGAGTAAATAATCTATTTATGTTAGGCTGAAAATTGCGTGCTTTATCTACTTCAGTATAAGGTATAATGAACCAGCGCTAGCCAATCACTAAGTCACAGAAGCTGCCAAAATCAATTCGCGAGA